TTTGAAGGGAAGCAGAAACACGATGTTTTTCGGGCCTGTGTCTTTAAATGCAAATGAACTGCTGCTCCCCACCCCCTTTTCCAGAATAGAGCTGCGCCATTACAGCTCGTACCTGCTAAAAACATCTGCTTTGGTTCTGATTGTCATGTTTATCGTGCTGAAATCATGCGTTTTAAACCATATGCGTATTTAAAACAAAATTCTGATATAAGGTTTTCTGAGAGCACTCATCCGAAGCACATGGACAGAAAGCGGCTGTCACAGCATGTGAGTACTAAACTAAGTTCTCATTCACACACAAGTTTACGTTAAAAACACACGAGTTACAAAAAAACAGTTGGTTATGTATGTGAAGGTAAATAGCTGGGAAATAAATTGAATGTTGATTTTAGATCTGTGTGGCAGCAGCAATATACATTAAATAAATCAATAAATCCACTGCTCTCTTGTCTCTGAGGCTGGGACTATAAATGGTGTTCTGTGCTCGTCTGTGTAGCCAATGACAGAACAGTTAGCATGCATTGCTCAAACTTATTCTTATTCTCATTACTCAGACACTTGCAGAAAAAGGCTTACCAAAACAAAGTTACAGGGTTAATCTGTTTCATGTTTCCTTGGTTGGTAGATGCACCAGGGACCTGATTATAGCACTTAAAACCTGGAAAAGTCAGATTTTCATGATATGTCACCTTTAAGTAGTCTCTTACCTTGGGCAGAGAATATTTGGGGATTTTAATGCGTACAAAAGGTTCTCTTTGATAGGACACATAGTAGCTTGCTCTGCCAGTAGTCGTCACCTGCATGGAAAAGAAACAAATAGCACATACAGTATTTCAGATATCAAAAAACTGGCATCAACACTGGGAAATCTACTGACAGTAACTATTGATTTGTCCTTGTATTTTGAAGAAATGTTTAGAGGTGGGCGATATGACCAAAATCTTACATCACGGTATGAGTAATGTTATACAACACTAATGGTGTACATTGAAATATAAACCTTAATGTTGGCTTTGTTAAATGTAGCTGGTAACTCAGAACTGGGTAAATATGTTGGGTTAAACCAGGGGTGTCCAAACCTGTTCCTGGAGGGCCACTGTCCAGCAGAGTTTAGCTCCAACCTCAGTTAAACACACCTGAACCAGCTAATCAAGGTATCAAGACTCACTAGAAACTTCACATCTGGTTAGAGCTAAACTCTACAGGACACTGGTCCTTTATGGGCATATTTGGACATCCCTGGGTTAAACTAACCCAGCAAGAAGGGTTGTGCATTTTAACCTAACAGGTTAGATTTTGTTTTGTAATGTTCTACCGCAGTATAGCAGAATATCTATCACCATTTCTACCAACAGTATATACTATAGCAGGGTTGCCAGGTCTGCTAAACAAAACCAGCCTAACTGCTATACAAAACTACCCCAAAACTAGCCTAACCGCATTTTTTATGCTGTTTTCCCCTCCGTTGGTGGTCCGTTCCATAGAAATTGCGTTCTGGGGGGAATAGTGAAATAGTGTGGGGTGGGGGAGAGATCACTTTAACCCACGGACTAAAAAAAAAACCTGTGGCAAAGTAAAGGTAGCCCAATTCCGCAGTAAAACTGCAGACTTGGCAACCCTGAGGCCTAGCACATTCAATGAATATCTGAGCTATTAACTAACTTTCTTTCCCAGCACATTACACAAAGCTGTAAATTCAGATGGCTAATTCAGTAACGGAGCGAGCAAGTTATATCCTGAACGACCCGTTTAAAAGAATCTCCTCACTATGATTTGAAGGGATACTGCTTGGTCTCGGTTTGTCAATGCCCTTTGCAGTTCAAGAGTGGAGAGTGGTAAATATCTTGTAGGACAATCAATACCCTCATTATTCTCTGTCAAGAGAAATCTTTAATTCTCGCAAGCAACACGTCCGCTCCCACCCAGCTCCGAGGGGGATTGTTGGCGCTAATGATAGCGCGTGTAGCAAACACACACTGGTTGTTAGCATACACAGCAGGAACTGTCAAAAGCTTGTCATATCTACAGCTGCACAAGGGGGAATGGAGAATTAAATAAATAATTCTTCTGCAGCACAAAAGGTGTCTGCGAAAGTAGCAGACATGTTTAATTCATCCCACCTCTTTTCATAATTTCAATTAGAGAGCATATATACACCCAACAGGATTCCGATTTCAACATGGGAATAAAATGGCTCCATGATTATATGACAGAAACAGTTATGTTTCTTAGCGGGTAATGTGCATTCAATAAATGAGGAGAGAGAGGCAGAGAAGGAGAGCGGCAGTCTAGGGAAAGTTCTAAACAAACAGCATGACCAACGTGTCTCCAAAAAGCTGCTCTGCGTGCAACAGAAGGAAGGAGCAGCCAGGATCGATGGCTTCCAGGAGCAGTTGAACCTCGAAAGAAATTGGGATGATGGGTTTCACATTCTTTGGACTGTGATGTGGCGTGACAAAACATTGGGGTTGAACGTCCACTCCTTATTGGCAGGACTTGTTATCTGCACTGCTGTTAGACTTCCAAGAGGGTAGTGAGTAAATGTTTTGAAACTTCCCATCAATGTGAGGAACTTTTCCGCTGCCTGGGAAATACTGTAATTTAAAATTCCCAGTCTGAAGTTTTGGCCATGACTTCAGATGCAATTATTTGTATTCTCTAGGTGCCCTAAAATAGTTCCCACCCTAATATGTACTGTTTCGAAGACAATTGTTTTCATGAAGATGGAAATTAATATATTCAAAAACTGCCCTGGATTGGAATTGGAAATTTAGGCCATTACCATTTCACTTGTTCCCTTGAGTATAATATTATTATTATGATCCACTAGCGAGTCAAAAAATGACACATGGACATATACATATTTACGCACACAAACTTCACCTGAACGTTAAGGAAACTTTGGTTTTTGACTGGGAATGACATGAGGGTGAAGAAATTATGACAGAACGTTCGTTTTTGGGTGAACTATTTCTTTAAGGTATATTCACACTGCCAGTGATCAAAGCAAGCAGAAGTCATTCATTTTCAATGAGATTTGGAGATTTGAGGCACTATGAGCGGGGGCAAGCGTTGCTGATGTGACAAAGGTGAGCAGAGTTCAACTTCTTGCAAATGAGCAGCAACATCATGGGAGTGAAGACAGAGGGCTATGGTTAGATAGTTTAATCAAGTACTGCATATGCCAAATTTTGGATCCCACTTGTTATGTACTATATATCACACCGTGTTCCACATTTCATAATTTATAAATGAGGAGCAATGGGAATGAGTGGGAATAAACTGAGAAATCCCAACAGGTCTGTTGTTCTAGGAAGTCCTTATCTCAAAGACTAATGGCAAAGGGCTACGCTGTTATCATTGTACTTTTTTATTTCGGCCACGCTTGACTTTATATTAATTGTGGATGTCATTATATAACCCAACAATAATTAATTGGTGACATTTGACTTGTTTCTTTGCTCTAAAGCATTTCAGAAGATGCTCTTGACTAAAACAATAATTCCAGCATTGGTTACCCATCCAACCGTAATTCTCTGGCTTAAAAAAATGCTTATAAAAAAAGGGCTTCTGAATTTAGGGGGAAATATTTGTCCAGTAATGCACTGTACATATTACGAAGAAGGAGAAGGAGGAGATCATAAAATATACGATTTTTAAAATATGAATTCATATTTAAAATATTTAATATCTAATTAATATATTAAAGTAAGTGATCTCTGGTCCTTACCTGAACAAACACGTATTCATCTTGAACCACGAGTGAGTTGGTCTCAATATAACCAGAAAATGGATAAGTCCTACTGGATTCAGAGCAGGCTTGAGCTCTGCATGTCACATACTGACAATCTGTTGTAAGGAAAGACAGAAAGATGATTCTAGCTGTTAATTAGATTCTGTATGGGGGCATTGAGTGGAGTAACCTCTGACTGTTTCTCCGAATCTCTAAGGATGCATCAGCTTCAAGGAACATTAGGTGGAAGATTCAGAATTATGTATCCAATATGAAATGGAAAGTTAATTCAAACAACTGAAACTTCTGCCATTATTTGCTCACCCTCATGTCACCCATTTTTTTTTTTTTTTTTTTTCCACTGAACACATAAAGAGAATTTTGGTTTTTGGAAGCTTAAGGTTCAACAACAAGGTTATTGTTGTATGGAAAAAAAAGTATTGAGATTGATTTTTTTTTTCTTTTCCACATAATGGTGAGTAAACTATGACAGAATTTTCATTTTTCAGTGGACTATGCCTTCAACCAGTGAGAGAAAGCAAGGCAGAGAGAGTCCAGGTCCTATATTAATCTGCTATCAGATGGTGTGCTTATCATTACGGTAATCGCGTCTAGCTGCCTGCAGGACTGGCTTTATCCTCAGTTAAAATTATTCCCCAAGCTCACGGGCTCTCGTCTCATCTCTTTTTTCTCCTCTAACATCAGGACTGAAAGAGGAGTGTACCGTAGATCAGTAGAAGGGATGTGAAAGGAAGGTGGGGAAAAAGAGAATTTGAAATAACCTTAGTGTGTACTGTGAAGGAGCATTTCTTTGAATGGATGAGCATACTACAGGAATATACCTCTTCACTGAGACACTGAATCAGTGTTTTGAGTCTGAACAACACTGAATGAAAATAGAGTTTGTAAAAGTACTCGGACATATTGCTTCAGAACGAACAGTACGAGTGAGGAATGAGCAAAAGTCTGATGGCTCTTTCTTTTTTTTTCAAATGGATCAAAGTGAGTGAGGCATGAGCAAGAATCTGCTAGCACTTTTTCAATTGAATCTGTTGAGTGAATAATAAAATGACTCACTCAAATCACTTAAAATTTAGGAAAAAAATAATGTTTTAAATGATTTGTTTACACTTCAATAATATAATATAATATAATATAATATAATATAATATAATATAATATAATATAGAATAATATAATATAATATAATATAATATAATATAATATAATATAATATAATATAATATAATATAATATAATATAATATAATATAATATAATATAATATAATATAATATAATATAATATAATATAATATAATATAATATAATATAATATAGACTTTGTTATCCTTTTGATGAATGAATTTAAATATTTTTAGAGAGAATTATACAATGGCTCCCTTATAATATTTGCAGTCTGGAATTTAAGAACTAAACTAAACTAAACTAAACTAAACTAAAATAAAATAATAAAAAACAAGGGCTAGGTCCATGAGGGTCAGTGACGCATCTTTTTTAGCATACCAAATCGAAAGATTTGAGTCACTGGTATGAATCAAAATTCCACCACTAGACTGCAGGACAGTGTTGAAGAATACAGACAAAGACAGAAAGAAGCAACTCACGGCCGTCAGGAGTGTGGGCCTCCATGTGTACCAGACCTAAATCCTTGTCCAGACCAGTTACTGACCTGCATTAGACACACACCAGAGCGAGGAGAATGCAGTTTTTATCACAGAGACGAAAAATCCATAACAGATGTCTTACTGAAGGTCCATTTCAGCCAACAGTGGAAAAAAAATGTGGGGTGCCACTTTCCCAAATGCCACATGATGGGGTAAGGAATCAAAGTACAATTTGCAGCAGCTCAGAAGTGTGTCTAAAACCCATGTATTTGTAGGTGTATATTTGTTCATGATGGTGACAGTGAAGGAGTACAATGGAAATATGAATGATGACACCTGTTGGAAACATGATTGTGTGACGCACCAGCCCTTAAACAACCCTACCATTAACTAGACAGTGTCTTTTATAGCTCAAGTGGGCTGTACCAGTGTGCTCGTTTTCTGTGACTCATGCACACACTGAAGACAAACTTCGGATTGAATCTCTGCTTTCTCACTAACAGTCTAAAACATCCTTCAGTGCATAGAACTGAGTTACACATAATCTTAGCTACTTCCTGTGGGATTTGTACACTATGGTAAGAATGCATTGATTAAGAATGTAAATGTATTTGCGTAATTCTCGCATTAATAGTGTTTTTGCAATTGAAAATGTTCATTGAAAAAAGGGCGTAAATTTCTCACAAAAATCACTATCAATCTGACATTCTCAGCCAATAGGGTGGGTTCTCAATATGGCAACCTACTTCATGTAATATAGGACAATGTTTATTAAGGTTAATATGACAGGAGTCTAAAATAAAAGTTCAATGGTTTAAAGTTTGAAAATGAAGAAATTAATAACCCACTTCATGTAATATAGGACAGTTCATATGACTGCAGTCTAAAATAAAAGCTCAATTAAAGTATAAAATAAAAATTAGTGGTTTTATTTATTTATTATTATTATTATTATTATTATTATTATTATTATTATTATTATTATATCTATTATTATATCACACATTTTTAGTCAAAGCCCTACAAAAAAAACAACTCTTGATCTTACTGGAGTCTGGATCTCGTGGGTGTGCATCATTTTAAACTTCTTTTTTTTTTTTTTTTTTCCAAAAGTACTATCCATTTCTTTATGTGTAATTTTTTTTTTTCTTAAAAAAAACTTTAAAATCTAGAAGCACTATGGAGTACAATTCCATTCTCTTTTGCTCTCCTTAGTCATCTTCATGCCTCTATATTCTTTCCATCTTCCTCTGCTATGCTTATTCTCTCCATTTCTTTCGTTGTCTTGATACTAAATAGAGAGGAGTTGTGCAACAAAGGTCTTAGAGCTCAAACATCTGTGCAGCTGACATGAACAGCAGCCCGTGCATTTTCTAAGCATAAGAGCGTGTGAAAAAGGACACACTTTTTCAAAAGTATCCATCTTCTCAACTGCTCAGACTCTTTCCACATATCATGAACGCGTCAATGTCAACCAGCACTCAACTAAACTCTCCCTGTTCGCCCATAAAATTGTAAGTTAGTGACATCGGGTGAGAAATGGAGATGAGGTGTGATTGTGACTGTTCCACCTACCAGTAGAAGCGGTTCGGAGTCACTCGCTCGTGAACTAGCTGCCACTTTCGACCAAAGTCAAATGAGCTATACAGCTGAGAGAAAAAGAGAGAAAAAAAAGAAAGAGGCAGCCATAAAAATCTGTAATCATTTGCTCTGGTACGTTAAATCCATGTAACCAATTAAAGCCAGATTTTTCTCATTTCATTCAAGAGCCTTTTCTCTGAATATAACTGAATTGTCATTGTGATTTGTTTTCATTATACAGCTGAGCCATTGTGTGCTTTTCAAAGGACTGAGCAAAAAAGCACAGTCTTGAAATCAGTTGTCATGGGTTAAGGAGAACACCATTATGGTTGGGCTTTTCTAGGTTATTGAATGCACTATGGAATGGAAATATATGCCATTTTAATAGTGTGGAAAATGGAAACCATATTTATCGCACATAAACACGGTGAAGGGGATCACATCATAAGGAATACATTTACAAAAAAAGTAGAGAGGGAGAGAGAATTCATGTAAAAATATATATTACAATGCACAGTATATGTATATACTGTACTATATTAATATTAGTGCCAAATATTTGTCAAAATCATTCATACACGTCTGTTAAAAGTTTTTGTTTGTTTGTTTTTTTTAAATAAATTCATATTTTTAATAACCAAGGATATACTGAATTGATCAAAAGTGACAAAGGATTTCTATCTCAAATAAATACTGTTCTTATGAAATTTCTATTCATTAAAGAATCCTGAAAAATGTATCACAGATTCCACAAAAAGATTAAAAGGCAGAACTATTTTCAATATTTTCAAAATATGATTTCTTAAGTATCGTGACACTGAAGACTGGAGTAATGGCTGCTGAAAATTCAGCATCATTTACTTATTTTAAAGTATATTAAAATAGAAATTATAAAACAAAAATTATAATATTAATTTAGGTCTTTCTTCTGCTGTACTGTATCTCGATTATCTGTTTAGGTACCACAAAGTCAGGTTCATTTAAATATTTCCTTCGAGATACATTCAGACAATAAATCAGACAAATTATATTTATCAAAATACTAGCCTTCCAAATCTCTGTTATGCATTATTATGGCTCAAACTCTGAGATGTGCCAGACCGGGGGCATACAACAGACAGAAATAAGAAAAGACAGCTGGCAGAAGTTAAAAACATAGATCATTCGAGGTTCAGCAGTCACCTGGAGCTAGCAGTGCGTGAAACACAACACACATTAAAATGTGTCTAAATGGAATTATTTGGACTCGAAGCTGCAAGGTGAATCTCAAGGGAATTCTAATGGATGGGATGAGTTCATTCAGGTCCGAAGGGAATTCATTTGGAAGTTTCTGCTCCACTATGTGCTCTAGTCTGTACATGCATCTCAGTCCATGGAAGAGAACAGGCTATACCTTCAATCTCCAGAGCTTTCTAGAGCCGTTAGGACGGCAGATCTCAAACTGGGTTCAGTGGATCCCAGGAGTCTGTCTCAAATAGCTAGTGTTTCTGGAGAATGTCCAAGCTATATGAATGCAACAGAAGCAGATTACAATTTTCTGCCGTCTGGGTTTCCCATTCATTTCCTCCATAGATATTTTGAATGAAGCGTTGAACCAAACCATGCAGCTCTGAAAAGCGAGATGGGGGTCTGTGAACAGTTATGAACTTATGAAATATATCCTTGGTTCAAAAAAGTTAGAGAAACCCTGCAGGGATTGTTTTTCTATATTCTGAGACATACTGTATGGTGTAATTCTCTGTGTGTAAAAAAAAAAAAAAAAGACAAAATACAAAGTGTCAAGTGTGTTCTGGAGTAGTCATCCTTAATTTCTACAGAAACATAGATGTAGTTGTTCAAATCTTTAAATGAACAGACAAGAGTCAAAAAATGTCTGAAGACTGAGTTGCACATCTTGACAAGTCACTGAACATTACATTAAGACAGCACAAAGAGGGTTACCATCACAAGCCGTTTACTGACAGCAGCTGGAAGCATCACACAGATGCTCAATAACAGGACTGATGCTTTTGATGAGATCTGAAAGACTGTTTCTGAGAAGACTGCCCCCAATCACTGAATCTAACCCAGAAATACACAAAAAGGTTAAAGTACAATAAGAATCCAAATAAAGAGAGCAGATATTCAGTTAAATTTAATTAGATATTATTCCTAAAGTGACTCTTCGCTTCTATATTTTCAATATAGTGTTATACAAATGGCAATAAACTACTGCAGGAGCCAAGGCCTAGCACTTAGCAGGGTTATTATTGCTAATTATAACAAACTATTCAAGAAACGTGTTAATTGAAATTAAACTGCAATGAAATAAAATATGCATATTAGAAGAAAAAAAATAATTAAATTAAAATTAGAAATGTTGCCAAGCGTAAACACTAAAATTACTAACTGGAAATAAACAAAAACTAAAACTGAATTAAAACTAAAATAAAAATAAATGAATCCAAAATAGCAATAATTATAAAACAAACCCTAAAAAAAATGACAAAAGCACATACCAAATAAAGAAATACTAAAATTACAATTAAAATGAAAAAACATGATAAAATATACAAAAATAAGCTAATTCAAAATATAAAAAAACTAAAAAAGCATTTAAATAATATAAATATTAGATGAAAAAATAACCTAACCTAAATGAAAATTACAAATTTTACCAAGTTTAAGCTCTTAAATTAAATGAGTCATAAACTTAATTATTAATATATATATATATATATATATATATATATA